GTCATCTTTTTTTGATCATTAACAGAGAATGAATATATTACTATAATAAAATAGCTAATAGAAGTAATCTGTTGTGAGATAAATTTTTACAGAAATTTTTCACACCTCTCCAACACACTGACATGTGGTTAAAGCTACACTCTTACTCGGTGTATTAGTAGGCAGATTTAAGTTTTTAAAGCCAAGGTATTTATCTCTCTTGTTCCAAATCGAAATAAAACAGAAAAGCGTTTTGGATATATTTTCTGGTATCAGTATTATAAATAATTCAAGCACAAACAAAACTTGATAACCAGTAATTATGTGTATACTGATAAATGAATTCAGCTTCAGTGTACAGCCTAATTAGTGAATTCAGTGAAACGTCTGACAAGGTTACATTTTGTAACACTGTTCATATCAGATCATTAAATCAACTTGAAGTGATTCATAGTGTTTACTGTTCACTATAGGTTAATAAGCATCGGTTTGCTAAGATGAAATCTGATAATCATCCCTCAAAAAACAAATTTTGGATTACATTTTGTATTTGTTTTTTTAATTCGTCATCTACAGTATATGAGTACTGTTCTTATTTTTTGAGACAATTTTTACTGCCAGTATTAACAGAAGAGCTGTTTATCAACGATGTCATCACACCTAAAAATTTAAGCGACTACTATCATATATCATTAGTGTTTCAAAAATAAATTTGATTAGCATAACTGCTTTCATGTTCGATGATTATTGAGATGTGGAGGAGATAATGAATTCCACGTAACTACAAATATTAGAACTTTGATCTAGCTGTTATCTATGAAGTAAACATTATAATCATCTCTACCTCCGATTAAAATACTGAGATAAACTTGCTATTTAACTTCTCATAAAATGATTACTATCTTCAACTACAGTGCAAACGACTGGAATAACTTTGAGGATATGGCGCAGCAGTAGAATGCTTGCCGACCACGCATGTGGTTCGGTGTTCGATCCCCGGCCGACTCACTCCTCTACCTCGCTTAGCCAGTAATAAGACTGGTAAGGAGGGGAGGTTAGGCATGAGGCTAGCGACCCCAACCCGTCAAAATAAACACCACTGCTTCCGAAACTACAAAGCCGTAGCTTGAAGCCCTATGTTCCACTGGGAAAATAAGGGAATAAAAAAATGACTTGAGGCCCAGTGATTAGGCTCCCTGTAGGGACTAGAAAAGTTGAAGTACACAGTGATGTAGTTACTTATTAAACAAATGGGATAGTCCCAAGTTTGGGACAGATTTAGCTTATAAATCATTTGTGCTTGTAATAATCTTTCGGATGGGTTTATGGTCACTTAAGTGAAAAATTCGGTGCTGAAGTGAACTAGAAGAAAAAACCTTCAGAAGCAAGTTGTTCCAAATTTGGTATCTGTTTCTGAGACATATGGACAGTCTGTATTGACTTAGTTCTGAAAGGAATGTTTTTGACCTTAGTATTTAGAAATCAATCTTCGAAGTCCGAAGAGTCATGATTTCCCTCCAGGTTTCAGGAAAAATTTGCTGATAACGCTAAACACACCTAAAACATAACTCCTAAGTTTGCAACAAACCGATTTCCTATGCTTTATACTCATCAGTTAAGTAATGTGACAAGCATACAAAATGGTTAACAAGCGTTTAAGTTATGCTGGAAAATAGCTATTAAGAGATTAAATATTAACTTGTACACTGCAAAAAAAGGGCGAATTCATTATTTTCGTAACATTAAAATTTTTGTTTTGGCAGTGCTTTTGATTAGCTGTATGATATTATCATTTCGAACACTTTAACTTGCATAGCCCTCAACGTAACAACCAGTCTGTAAACATCCTGTCTTCTCAAATACATTTCTTATTTTAAGGACAACTTAAATTTTCTCTGCCAAAGTAGACATCTGTATTTGCTGTTCAACTACTGAAACAACTGTTCAATATTCATTATGCATGAAGAATATTTTTGACAGCTGTTTTAGCTTTAATTACCTGGTTCTGTCTAGTTTAAGTGTGTAGAATTAGTTTCATTTCCTTCAATTCAACTACTATTTATCAGTTTCATGGTATTATTTGAGTATTTTTGTATATTACATTATTAAAACTTCATTAGCCCGTAAAGAGCATTAAATCATGTTACTTATCAGTTGTTCTTGGCTATTTCAAGTTTGCAAAGAAAATATAAAATTCTTCAGAATTATTAAAAACAAAATTATTTTCTTTGACTCTTATGGTATCATAATTAAGAACATGAATATTGTGGGAAATAAGTACATTAAGAAGCTTTACTTTGTTATGATATACAAATGTTTTTGCAGCAATGTATTATTGAGAAATCAGCTACTGAAAAACATCTTAACTCCAGCTTGTGAATCCTATTGACTTTTGAATGACATGAACTAGTCACACGAAGTCACGATATCAGCTAAGTAATACCATGATAGTTTTATAAACATTGGGCTTTGAGTGAAAAGTATACATATATAAAAAGCTATATTTGTAGAAATCCAAGAGAAACTGAAGGAAATTATCCCAACAGTTTATTGAGCAAACTGGTCCGATCTTCACAGGAATGATCAAAATCAAGAAAGTTCGGAAGTTTTCTGCAAGAAACGTTCGAATCGCCAGTTTCAATATTACTGAGATTTCTACAAGGATAACTTTATGTGTATGTATTGATGTGATGTTATTAACAACTGGAAGTGAGCCATCCCAATGCAAATTACTGTCACGTCTGCACTAAAAGGGAACTGTTGGTTTTTTCAAACTATTTGCCTATGGAACCTTATTATGCTTCTTATATGAAATTCGTGAGGTACCATATCATTCAAACTCCTAGTCAATAAAGACTTTAGTCATGTATTTATCGGCTTGGCTTATCCCACTTGCTGGCGGTAAATCACCAATAGACATAAAGCTGCTACATCGTGGATCATCCAGAAACTTAGGAAAAGAAAGGAAATTGATTCAAATAGTTTGAAAGATAAGAGATAATAAAGCAGTTAAATCTTTCTAACCAGACAATCAGTGACCTAGAAATAGTTCATTCTAAATTTATTATTTCCCCATCATCAGTTACCGATGCAAAATAAGTGTAAACCGTAAAAAAAAATTCACAAAATGAACAGGTTTCATTTCGCTGAGCTAATTTCCGACTGATTCACTTTATTTATCTAAAAGTTTAACTATCAGTTATGAGAGAGAAAGAAGGAAAAGATTTGGTTGCGCATTTATGTCTCATTTCAATGCGCTTATACCGCACTTCAGTATTGACTTAAATGTGAAAACATGACTGACAGATGGATAATAAAATGTCGAATAAAACACTGGGAGTTTAAATCTTGTTGCAAAAATCTTGTGATAAAAATTGATTTCACACTAAGAACATGAATAGTAGTAGATGACCGAATCGAAACCACTTGTTTCCTGCTCAAGTCAGTTTGACTTCAGTCATCAAAAAATTATTTATTTAAGTCGACGGGGTGCTAATGTTAGGGAAATTTGACTGTAAAATAAGCAAAAAATATTAATATTAAGTAAGATTTGATGATTTCATCAAATTCTGGTAGAACTCTTCAGCTAAGCACTTCGCAGACAGTGATGTATCGTCGATTAGAAATATTTGGGAAATATATGACCGATTTGTAAATAAACTACATTGAATGAATCCTGCAAAACGACAGGTGTGAACGTTTTTCAGATGACGATTTGTTCAGTATAGTTTTTTCACTAATCATTCATATATCCCCCAGTTTATCTGTGACTACATATATATATATCACCGTATGTAGAGTATTCAACTGATGACATCTGATGAATTCATGCCATCCTGCTTTATTAATATTTATTGCTTGTTTTTTTAATTCAGTTCGGGAAATGTTTCCAAACATGACTGTTTTTCATTAATGCAGAAGCCTGATATAGAAATCAGCACTGAAAGCAAAATTTAACATTGTTATTAGTAAGGTTACTGAAGATTAGATGGCCGGAAAGAATCACCAACAAGAAGCTATGGGAACAAACAAAACAGGAACCAATCGCCCAACAAATATGCAGGAGAAAGTGGAGATGGATTGGACACTCACTCGCTGAGGAGGCCGTTGGGTGACATCACGCGTCAGGCCATAGCTCGAGTGGAACCCGAAAGGGAAGCGGCGAGTGGGACGTACAAGGATGACATGGAGGAGATCGTGTGAACAGGAACTGAAACAGTATGGATTAACATGGATGCAAGTGAAAAATACAGCAGAAGACAGAAGCAAGTGGAGGCGTGCAGTTGAAGCCCTATGTTCCACTAGGAACCCAAGGGAACAATAATAATAATAATTAGTAAGGTTGCTTAACTAATTTTAGCAGTTCAATAAGTTTGTAAAATCTGTTTTGGTGATTTATATGCACTTGTAATTAAGATCTCAGAACCATTAGTCGAAATAATAAACTTTATTACTTAAATATACGTCCATAGATAAATATTTTAAAAGAATATTATTTGATACTTGGATTGTTTTGCACAATTTAAGCATAATACACATTTTTAAGATAATAGAAAGACTGTGATAAGTGGAAAATACAAGAACAAATCATTTGGGTAGATAATTACCGTATGAATAGAAATGGAATACACAAATGGAAGCAGCTGTTTGACTTAGATGAGTTTTTGGTAATACCTCTTCCTAAATTAAACCTGACTTGCAGCCAGGTGAAGACTCCAGCAGAGAACCGAACGCAATGGAGACGTATGGCTGAAGCCATATGTTCCTCTTGGAATTAAAGGAAACAATAATAATAATAAATTAAACGGTCATACAAATAGTATTTAATATTGATCCTTATATAGCCAATGGAAATCGAGTTCGATGAAGTCTTTTAGCTGTCGAAATTTTGTGCCAATCTAATTTAATTTAAGATATCTTTTACATCTTTTTAATAGACTTTATCTTGAGTATGGAGCAAGTCACTTTCATGCTTTAAAATACTAAAGTTACTGAGGAAATATAGACTATTGTTAACTCACATGAAGGATTGTAAAGTTCTCGAGGACAGAATTCATTAATTCACGTTGAGGTAACTGAAGAAGTTTGCCTATAAATTTCTTCATATAGTCGCACATTGGACTGCGCAAAAACCGGTATACAAAGCGTCCATTTTCAGCTCTTGGTTGTTCATCCTTTTGTATTATATGAAACATAAGACATTAAAACAAATAAAAGACAGTGTGTGTGTATTAGTTTACAGCAATGTGTTGGATGAAAAACTAAAATCTGGTCTTTCTTTCTCTATCGAAATTTATAAGGGGAACCAAATGTATGAAAATATGAAAGTTTTACTACGTTGAAATACTGATAGATACATTGAGAAGCTGGAAAAGTTATCTGAATAGTGAAAATGCAGCAATCTCACGTAAATATTTGTAAAAATAGTAATCATTACGTATTCATAGTATGACAGCAAATTACATAGTTATGACTTTCCACGAAGTTGAAACCGCTAACAATTCACTAAGCTGTATTCCAGATACTAAACGAAGCTGATAAGACATTCTGAAGAATAATGTTTCATTCTGTTCGTATTACCGAAGTCATGAGTCGTTTAGTAATTTTGAAGATTAGTCATCCAACTAATTTTCAAAACATTCGCATTGATACAACCAAGCTAGCCAGGTTCCTTTTTCAGCCGAATAAAGCTAAAGAAGTCAGCCGAATAAATTTGAACTCAGACTCTTCCTTCCAACTTGAAAGAAAGCAGTGGTCTGTCCTAGTCTTCATTTCATCAACATCGAAAATGAGTGAAGACTATCGGGAATGATGACAATATGACTTGCTCTATGGACCCTGTGATACTGTCAATATTACCAACTACTGAGACTGATACACTATGAAGTTAACACACTACCGAAGTAGCAAACTATAGTGACGGCATTATTTTGTTTTTAAACTTCTTAACATAAAGAAATCATGGTTTATGAGATTATCTCGTCTAGTATCTGCATTACCTCACTGTAAATATAATTCACAGTTTTATGTAAATTTAGCGTATCAGCCGAAATACAAAACATGGAGAAGCATATATATATATACTAATCGGCACCGACGAAAACAATGAAATCTATAGCTACTGAGACTGTTTCTTCAGCGCTGTTGTTTGGCGCTTCCCTATTTATGCATAAAATTTCTCAGCATTATTTTATAATTATTATTCGCTTGGGTACTGAGTAGGGCATGGGGCTTCAGAAACACATCACCATCAAACTTTATTGTCTGTAGTCATTTTTAGCTGGCTCCAACGTTGTCCATCAGCTTTCATTTCCTTTTCGCACATTTCACCCTTTGACGTCAAACTCGTCGTTCCCCGTTCACATTCCACTCGAGTGTCTGACGTATGATGTCACTCAATGGTCTCCTCGCACTATGCCCATTCCATTTACATTCCAATCAGATGACTGGTTCGTTGCCAACGTTGCTTGGTGCTAATCCTTTCTTGCCATCTGATCTTCATTATGGAGCGAAGGCAGCTGTGAATGAAAGTCTGCTGTGGCTTGCTTGAAATGCTTTCCGTGATAGGCACGCCAAGTCTCTGGGACATATAGAAGCTCTGACTTCACATTAGTGTTTAAGATCAGGATTTTGTTCCTCATGCTAAGTGCAACAGACTTCCACTCTAACTTCAGACCAGTGAAGGTTTATCGTGATTTTCCGATTCTGACTTTGACATTCTCATCTGTACCTCCTGTCTGTAGGTGGAGCGTTGTTTTCCAGGTGAGATAAACAGATAACTTACTTTAGACACCAACTGTTGATACGTGTTATATATATATAAATATAAATATATATATATTATAAGTTAAGTACTTTCATCTCATTTGACTTCTCTGTGTTCACTTGAAATACTGTCTCCGCTACCTGCCTTTTCTGACAATCTGCTGGTTGTAGATCTTCAAGTCGGTGTGACACTAGACATAAATCATCCACGAATTCCAGATCTGCTATAGTATTCTTTTCGGTCCAGCGCATGCCCATCTTCTCGCTTGCCACGGCCTGTCACATGACTCAGCTCGTCACAGTTAGGAACATCGTCGTTGATACTCCTATCTTTACTTCAAAGACTACAAAGATTTTCCTTTCATGAATTACTTGGCATATAGGATTATCATATTACTGTTGAGTGACGTTGACAAAGGTCTGGACCACACCGTCTCCAAATAACTTGACGGTCAACCCTACTGTAGGCCTTTCCAAAGTCAGTGAAACTGAGGTTGAGATTTGACTGCCGTGCTGTGCTTCTTTCGACAATAATGCACAGTGTCCCAGTTTGGTTCTCATAAGATTTGTTTACCCTTAATCCAGCTTATTCAGGGCAAATTTTTGTATCCACAGCATTTTTTGGTCTCTCCAGGTTGAAGTGGCTTAATATTTTGCCTGGATTGGAAAAGAGCATGTTTCTGTGCCAGTTTTTGAAGTGCCTGAAGTCGTCCTTCCCTGACAATTCCTCCAGTCAGCATGGTCAACAACTAATGATCAGTAGTTTAGAACAAGGAAGCGAACTGTGATATACGGAAAAAAATGGAATTTGACCGTGATAAGAAACTGTGTTTTCGACTATGCTAGTCATTGAAGTTGTCATTTTATGAGTAACTCTGTGTACTTTATTGGAAGAAGAATCCATGGCGTAATTTCACTACAAGATTTTAAGCAAGAACCTTTGCATACGTAGAGTGGGCTGTCATCTAGTGTCTTGATTTAACCTTAGATATGCTTTTCATCTGCCTAATCATTGACTTTAACTAGGCTTTCAGTGTAAAAATCTTATACACGATTTTAGGACACAGACAACAATGACTTAATGTACATATCAAACAATAGTGGTGGGAAGTAAAGTGAAGCACTGCCAGCTTTCCATTAAAAGCTCTTTTACTTTTCTCCATCAAAGTTTCATAAAGCAATAAAAAAAGCGAAATCTGTCTGCAGTAGATCTTTCGTAACAATGTTCCTCGATCTCCGTAAATTTCGGCTGACAAGCTGGAAAGTTGATGCAGTATTCGATTCGAAACACCATTTTGATATTAAACCATTGGAATTAAGAAGCACAAAAACATATTTGTTTCTTTGACTTTGATCACAAACTGACTTCATTTAGAGAATCATTAAAAACCAGGAAGTACAGGACATCTGTTTCGTCTTTGGTTGAGATTCTTCAGTGGTAAGCACACATGACTCCGCTAGGGATCAAATCCAGGTCCATCAGGTTACGACGTCAGCCTGTTGGTCATTCAGTCACTGGGATAGAATCCAATGGCCCATTAATTCTAACTTCTGCCAGTTTGCGATATATAACACAACCTCCAGCCAATGTCATCGGTGAGTGTAACTTGCTAGTCACGAGTCCCTACTAGACCATTTGTTCTTTGTTGATCAGGCAGTGATAAAAATCAAGCTTCGCAAAGTCGTATACTTCTTTCCACTCAACAATAAAGTCAGTTGTGATTGCTTAATACAGATATATGGAAGATCAAGATTAGACAATTGTTACCTTAGTTAACTTCTTTTATAATCATCGGTTAGAAATCATGCTCTTATGTTTTACTATAATAAAATAATATTTATTATACTGTGTTCTTTTGCGAATAAGCAATCAGAGCAGGTTCATAATATTGTGAAATCCTGATTCTGAAGCCTAATATTGCCTCTTAGTTATGAATTAGGTGTCACTGCCAAACTCAAAGAGTAAATCAGTGCATTTACAAAAGTTGTTTCATGTTCTGCACTGACTACTCATCCAGAAAGGTTGCTGTTAGCATAAATTATGAATGAATTATAATTTGACTTTTTCGTCAATTTCTCATCAGTTGTTTCTTCGTGCAATAGGTTTAAGCGTAAAAATAGTAGTAGTAGTAGTAGTAGTAGCAGACGATGAAAGCAATAGTGAAACGTATACAGAGCACAAGATTTAAATTAACCCTCTTTTATTAAATGTATGATCACTTAAATCACAAATCATCTGTTTTATTCTTTATGATGTAAAAAAATGACAAATTTTACATCCATACGAAAATACATACACACATATATCAATGTACACAACAACAACAAAAAAAAAAGAAACAGTGTGGAAAGCCTTTAGTGTACACATTATTTCAACACCTAATCTATTCTCTACTTGTCAGTAGAAAGAAACTAATGGATTCGGTTAAAATGTTGGTGAAAAATTCAGCGAATTATCAATTAAACCTTCAGATACTTTTTACATGTATTGATCCATCAACTAATCAGTTAATTTCGATCACTGGGTTCTTACAAAATCATTTATTATAAATGTGTTGAATAGAGGATGGTATATATACGCTATAGATTTTAATTTTGAAAGATTGAAAGTTAACTTACTAACCAACCAATCAGTTCAGTTCGCTTTTGTTAGTAGTAAGTAGTGGTGGAAATCTTATATATATATATATATATATATATATCGAATACGTAACATGGGGCTGATAACAATATTTACATATTACAAAATAGAAGGAAATATGCGCACCTCGATTTTTTCCAGTACTTCTTTACCAAATGAGCAGACTTTTGTAGATAAATTGATTGGAACATCTTCTGTGCCCTCGAAACTATAAATTAAATCATACAAAGTTACAAGATAATTTCATATACCTATATAAGAGCAAAACGTAGGCAGATAATTTGTTGAACTAGAAATAAGAATGACAAAAGGTCCAATGTATTTAATACAACAGAAAGCAAACTTTCGATTAAGGCAAAAGGAGTCTCCCAAGAGAGAATTTAGTGGCAGTTCCATTACATGACTTTAAAGACTTATAGAGGATATCTAATCATCCTGCTTAGTGTAGGATAGGCGCTGGTACTGATGTCCGCATATATATATATATATGAACTAGCTTGTCAGTTAAAAATATAAACCATTATTATATTAAAAGCTAGGTATCACAATGAACCTCCTGCAGCATTTCAGTACAGAATATTAGACCAGCTTTAAATTACTTGACTCTGTTCTATCTCTACCAGTATTTGGTGTTAAATCCTCATACTGATGTTAACCCCTTTGATACTTAAATGTCTTAAAGGCGTGTAGTTCTGCTCTTCAGGATATGAGAATTTTACCATGTGAAAAATATTTTATCATGTCGGCTTTCTACAATAGAACTTTCTAAGTGTTATTCGAGTGATTGGTTTCTCGAACAGAGTAGTGTGGAATATTTTTTCTGTGCAAGTAAAAGAAAATTCAAATGAGTATCATGTGTGTTACGCGTATGTGATACATAAAATTACATAAAATAATTTGATCCAGCCATTTAGTATTGTCTGATATCCAAGATGTTTTGTTCTGATCATTTATACTTTCACGTGATTTAGTGCTGAAGGACAACTAAATTTCTGGTAACGCCTAAAATGGAGCCTACTTTCAGTGGGATACTTTTTTTAAAGTAGGATGTAAGTACTTATTTAGGCTTCTACGTGAACAATCCTATTTTTCGCGGTAAGTTATTTAATGACGTCATCTGTTATGCTCAACTTTCATTACTGGATTGTTCGGGAGGGTATGGAAAGACTTGATCTTCCGTCCCTGTCTTACCCCCCCCCCCACCCAAATCAGCTGAACCCCAATATGTATACATATAAATGCATCTTGTAGACATATCTGGTCGCTTCATTTACCTTTATTCTATTCAACTGAAGACATGAGCATACTTAAAGTCTCTACAACATCTTAAACACCATAAAGTATGCAGGCTTCAGGCACAAACATAGCGATAACATTTCAATTACTGGTTAGTGAAAAAGCTTCCACCGTCTACTAATTATTGAATATATTCTTTTTTGATACTTCATACAAGTCCCTCTATTCCCTAATAATGTTTTCCATCAATTCAGTTTATTGAAGTTATTTAAATTTCCAATTTTTCAGTTGTCTAGTAAATCATCATGAGGTGGAAGAATTTTAGAAAGTAACATACATTATAAGCGAAAAAGAGTCTCAGTCATTATTTAAAAAATAATAATAATAATTTTTATTATCATGCTCATGAAAACTTACATGGCAGAGACAGCAAATGTAGCGTCTGGTTCAACCACAACGTTCACATCAGCCTATTAGTTCGTAAATATCCAGAAACGAAGTAGAAAAAAGACGCAAATCAGATATCTGACATTAAAAAAATTATAATAAAGAAACATGACGTACACACTTATATGTCAGCAAACGTATACACAACAAGAACAATTATCAACAGATTTGTTCAAGCATTGCAGATTTTCTTAGAAAACATCAAAAGCCAACGTGAATTATCAGTGCTTCAAAGGTGCGATGGATATAAAACCGTACGGACAACAGTGAACAAAACAACAAGGGAAAAATAGGAGGCATCTGGGCTGGTCACTAATCGGTAACACATGAAAAGAAGGCAGAAGGCATTTTGACAAGATGGCAGTGTAAAGAATACAACATTGTTAAAATAACAACGAAAAAGTGTAACGTGTGCATAAGTAGTATTTATAATATACTTAGTAGACTATAAAGTCAATAAACACAAGGATAGTTGTCAATATAAAGCCTGCGATTACTGACAGCAATAGTAATGATGGATGGATGTTAAAACGAACAACGTCAAAGATTCAGGCATGATCAATAGATTTAACTGTAAAAATAATATTTAAATGAACATTTAACAAAATGTAGAAAGTATACACATGTTTTTTAATCCATGTGTTATTCACTGCATGCTCATTAATTAAAATGTGTAGGGTTGGCCTACACCAACTTTAAACGACAACAATAATCAAAGAAATTCTACAACTTTGTTTATTTTGCGATATGCTTACGGATGATGAAAAAATTTCAGATGGATTGTCGAAAACTGATATCTTTAATCTATGAAATTTTTGACAAGTATAAAATTTAATTATTGACATACTGATATTGATAGCAAATTTTTAAAGGCTATCAAAATGCTTCTATACTATGTTCTACAATAAAAATTATTAGTCACACATTAACACAATGATTGAACAAAAAACTTTTATTCATTCGACAGGTTCAAACCTAGACTGAATTATTCATCATCTTAGACACTACTCACCTCAAAGACAAATGATTCCCAGTTTTTAAAATGATCTCGAATAGGAAGTATCCTTATTTTTCTGTCACCTTTAGGTACTTATGGCTTTTCCATGTGGATTTCGTCGCTAACCAAAATCTGTTGAGGATGAGTGAAAACCGAGGAGCACTCTGATGAAGGGCCCCAAACTAGGAAAAAACAGCTGTCCAGTGGTCCATGGTGTTGTTAGTTTGTGACAGAATCCATATTGAAATTAATCCAAATCCCTATAAAATCGTATAACCTAAATATATGGTTTTATTATTGTTATAGGTGGTAAAGCGCGTGCAAACATGTCATCTACTCCGATCCAAGTAGATTTAGTAATTCAATTAGGGATGGTTAAAACCCATAAATAAACCGTAGATGAATTCATTTTTCTTAAGAGGAAAAGGTGTTATCTAAGAAAAAAACTGGTAGTGTGTATTTTCTAAAAATAGTGTACTTCATTTGGATTGTATCTGATTCGCTATCACCCCTAATGTTCGTTGTTATGGATGCTCATTTGCGCTTTGTACACCTTTTTAAAATGTGTTTTTTAAATGGAAACTATACCAGTTCAACAAAGCAGTATCTTACGGTAACATTTCACTTAGTTTTGTTTACCAAACATGACTTTATTCAATGAAGATCAGAATGGATAAACAACTGTGAGCAGAAAAATTGGTCATTTCAAAAACTAAGGAAAAAACTAGTTTAGGGTGGTACGCTTCAAGGATTTAGTCAATTAATCTAACAAACAAAGGAGTGTTAGTGTACAGAAAAACAAATAAAATAGTGAAATGTGTAAAACACCTTTGTAACATATGCATACTTAGGAAGTAGTCTAGTTAAAAGAGCAATAACAGATGAAATCATTTAGATGTAATTGCAGGATATTTTTAATTTAACAGAAAAAAATTGCCAGGTGAAAAGAGATTCGTTTGGGATGTGTAGTCTTAGATGAGAATTATGCTGTCAGCTGTGAAATTCAAACGTGGTTCGTCTAGGAAGACCAAATGTGGTCTGTTTTATAATGGCTCCAGTATCAAGAAGTATCAGGTCAGTGTACTACAAGCTGTGATGTAGAAAATCACAAAAATTTAATTTTCTTCAAATATAAAATTACAGTGCTTCCATTGCTGTTCTGATTCCATCATCACCATAACCAGGTTAGTTAACCATTTCTCAAGATAACACAGGTAGATGGTGTTTTAAAATAGCCTCTTTAGACTGATCTCTGCCATCGCATAGTGCAATGTGTCACTATCACAAGTATTGTGATAGTGAGTGAAATCAGTAAATATCATTTATGAGTTAGAACTATAAAATAAATTTAAGAAAAAAGTAGAGAATTAATTTCTCATTTTTTTGTATTACCGTCCTCATGTTTTGTTGCACAAATTTATTATATACCCTTACATACAAAGACATAAACACACGAATACTTAATTGCTGAATAGCACAGCATGAAATGGTTTTTCGTTTCACACAAAATTCTGGACAATAAATGTTTGCTCAACTTTTTAAGTTTATTCTATTAGATCTTCCTTCGTTTCCTTCTTCTTTACTTACTTACTTTGGTGTAAAGAAAACAAAGAATTACAACGATGAAGAGTTTAAGTTGTACACGAGTTTGTACTTTAGCAGCCATTTTTGTTTGCCTGTTTCCTGTACAAAAAAAATGAATAAACTTATTCTCCTTTCTAGAGCAACCTTCAGTATTTCCGTGTGCATTTATTAACTCATTCTCGGTATCTTTGTGTATATGTCACCAGTAGCATTATTATTAAAAACTATACTGTTGAATATAGTGAGCTTTATATTTTGAGGAATTTTAAAGCATTTTTCTGAAGACATGACATTTTCATAGGTAAGTAAGGATATTCGTAATACACCGGAATTTTTAAAGCAGTATTATAAAAAGAAGTAGGAGATCTCAAAAGAAAACGGTGGTTACTTAAATATCTACATTTGTAAAATGATGTCGTCTGGAGGTATACTGGAATATGGTAGAATTAAAAGAAAATGATTAACTTCTGTACAACATTTAGACGTTTCTTTTGTTGTAGTGAAAAGGTTTAACGCTACTACTTGATATGATTGATTGGAAATTATTTATTCACGGTCTTCGAATTAAATAAAATATGTTGCCAGTATACCAGTTAGATTCACTTGTACTTACAATAGCCTCATAGTAATTAATTAATCACTTCTAACTAATTAGTATTTCCCTCTAGAAACTGGTAACGATTATGAAATATGTGAAAGATTAGTGGTAGAAACAAGCTACCGTAACACTCCAGAAACTGATAGTAATCAATAGTAATTACAGCTATTTCCAATTAAAGTGGTGTATCGCTTCCTGTCTTCCATAGCCTTGATATTCAGAAGTATTCGGAATACTATAGTCAAGCTCATAAACCAGGTACAAACTCAAATGAATGACCGTTTTTTAGACAAAAGTGGTAAGATTAACAGAAAATTAATTAAACGTATTTAGGTGGAAGTGATGGTAAGCGGGATACTTCATGGACCTTGGCATCTAGGTGACTCTAAATGTGTGTGGTGGTTGATGTGTCTGTTAAAATATAATTGTTGTGTAGAATATCGAGAAGATGACTACATAAAATGTTATCAGCATTAAAACCAGAAGTTTAAAAGGTTACAAATGCAGGAAATTCATAAAGTTAGTTTCCTGTACTCATTGAGAAGAATTCATTTTATTTAGACTTGATAATTCCGTTCTGAAAACAAATTCTCTGGCTATGTAGTGAATCATTAAACTCATCTCAAAAAGAGATGGATAGAAAAAATACTTTGTATGCCTAAAGTGTAATTAGCGAATATCAGCAAGATCCAAAATTTAACACCCCATAATTCTAAAATGAAGCGATTGTTTGTTAAACGATGTAAAACAAAAAGTTAAAGGACACTTGATCACTAAATAAATACCTTGAAAGGATGGCAGAGATTCTATAGTGTTTAAGATAAAAATGTGTATAAAACATACCCAGAATTTAACTAGGAAGAAGGCGTTCGTAGGGCCATGTTCCATTAGTTCCTTTAAGCTGTCCTCAGGAAATTTATCCCATATTTGACTTGCATCCACTTGTTCCAAATTTGAATCGGAATACAGGTGATCATTTAAAATAGGCCCAATATGTACAAAATTGTGCTGATTTGTCATTGTAGTGGAATTATTATTTAGATGGAATTCATGCGTAGGAGTTAACTAAAGTTTTTTTGCAAAGAAAAACAAGACAAGATATGACAAGAAAAATGTTGTCGTGATATTTACTATGACAAAGTACATTCCAAAAAGGAATGCATAATAACATATTGCAAGGTTTGTCTCAGAAATTTTTTTCTAAAAGCCATATCTGATATGAGAAAAATCTAGAAGTTTTAATTCACTTCGGTGTTTGCTAAGTGCTTGTTGATTCTCTGTTATAATCCTAAGAAGTAACTGCTGTCTATTAATCACTAGGATTAGTGCAACCAAATAATAAATCACGCAACGGTATTATATATATTCAGTATAATCAGACTAAAGGCAGGTAAGATGTGCTGTAGCACAAGAGATTTCAGTAGTTCCAACCATGCATTACACAATTACACATAGAAATACCAGAAGGTATGACATCATTTGAAGCACTAGTCTTACAATATTTTGTTTGAAGCTGTTTTCACGAAGCTGAAATGCTATGCTTTTTGCATATTGTCCTATGAACTACAACAGCAGCAACTGAATATCACGCACCGTTTTTGAATTTGTGTGTAATTACAATTGCAGTTTCACTTCGAAAAAGGCGGAAATATGAATTACAGACATTTGACCCTTGAATCAGACAAAGTGTTTTATGAGTAGACTAAATAGATATCCTAGATAATTAGCTTCTTTCTATGGCATACTGTTCCTTTCTTCTTCTAAAACCGTCGACCTCATATCTGTGTTTTCTAGAGACAATATATATTATTTTTGTTTATATCTGATGCACTTTTTGAATAAGAAACTGTGATGCATTTCTAAAGTGCTGTTAGAATACAGATGTAGAAAAGTCAGTTAGTCAGCTTATAGGCTTATTAGCCTTCTTTTGCGAGTTTCTATTCTTAACCCTAACAGTTCGTATTTTTACAAACAAGATCCACCCAGTTCATACTGCTATCATCATCACTATCCAATGATTAATCCATTTGATTTTTTGAGGGACCATCCATTAACGGAATGTCATACACAACTGACTAGTTGATTAGATAACCATGCATAGGTGTGGTTTCTAGCTATTTACATGCATTTTAACGTGTGTGTGTGTATGGCAATGTTAAACTAATTAGTTATGAAGATTGTCTGCAATGAATTACTCTATATGTAGTTAGACGAAAGTATGTATTTTACAACAAGAAATCTTATATAAGTTTTGATATGACATGATAGTACTGTTTTATACCCTCACAAGTCATTATCTAATTGTATGTGTGTATGGTTTTGTGTAGCATTTACGGAAATTGTAATTGATATCTTCGTCTACATAAAGTGCTGTTATACTATACAGTAAGAAGAACAACACTTAGTTGATTGTCTGATTAAGAGAACATAGCCAACATCAGCTAAGCGAATTCTGTAACAAACACCATAAAGAGTAAACATCTAATGAATAAAAAGTGAACAATAGACAATATGATTTCTTCCATTAATGAGAACATATAGGAAGATTATGCATATGCCTACTTAGAATGCTTTATATTACCTAAATTTCACGCATAAGAGATTAAAATAATTCTGTCATCGGGGAAAAAGTTCAACCAGGATGGAAGATTCCTGAGAATTTTATCCACATTCTGGTATATAGTTCTCTATTATCTCAAAAACAAAATCCCAACAGATTCCCACTTCACTAGAAACTCCATACGGCTTACCAGTTAAGACGCTTAACAACACTCATATTTGTTTACTTCATGTGACACAGTGTGTTCCGTATGTTACAATTCATAACTACTTACCTTTTGAGTGATTTCCCTATTTTTTAAGATAACTTCACTAATTTAGGTGGTTTAGTAACCGGAGTAGCGATGTGTTATTTAACATGAGTTACGTGTGCATCATTTTCGTCTAATTTACTTTTGTCCAACTTGATTTTTCCCATACCTGTCAGATAAACTACACTTATAATTATCCCAGGACGCTAAAATCTATGAATGTAGAATAGTGAATTCACGACTAGACGACCAGTTGTTGATAACTAGCGGCACTTTTAGAATTCAAATGCAACTGGCATTTCATCACATCAGTAACGCAAAATGCATCACAAGCCTACATTATACGAAATACTCAAGTAATTGTCTTGTGACTTTCGTTATAAATAATGCAAAACTTTGGTAAATTAGGGTTGAAAAGGCTATGCATCAAGAACTTCGATGTTTTATTACTGCAGCCAGATAAATTAGTGCGTGAAAATCATATCAACTTCAGTGTTATATAAACTTGATGAAAATGATGTTTAAACTACCAGCCAACATTAAATCACAAGTTCTGACACTCAGATAATGCTTTTTCATTTAGATGAAGATCAGGGAGTATTTAAGCCAAGAAGGAAACGCATCTTCTTGCTGAAATTAAATTTAAAGAAGCCTACTTTCTGAACAAAAAAAGAAGTTTGACTTCGGAAATCCATGAATCCAATGAAAATCATTCGAAAACAAACCTAGCTTCAATCTAAACCAGATTACCAGACTCTTAAACCCTAATACTATTTAGTAAAAATACAATAATTGTCTCATATGCCTCTGTGTACCTTATTCATATCAGTTCCCTGAGTGTGGCAGATTATGTCGTGTCAATGAAGAAAGTAACTACTGGGCCCATGCCACACTGAAAAGCAGGACGTACTTTTCATTGAAGAAAGGATTCGTTAGTGTGAAAGAGTCATGAATGACAGAATCATGGGAATAATACTTCTTTGGACAGAAGTTAAAGCAGACAATTTTTTTTAAGGAATTATCAAGTGGCCTGAAAAATACAGCATTATATATAAATATATATGTATATATATCCATTCATTTGTATGAAATTAGTGTACAACAGTCAGGTAGATGAAAAAATTAATCTGAAGAAGTAGGCAGTCAGACAGGTCAAGAATTTGTTTTATTTTTATTTTAATACATAAAACCTGTGAATGTAACATTCCATTCTTAGAGAGAGAGAGAGAGAGAGAATGAAATGAGAATGACATAATTTGGCTTTATATGTATGTATTTAATTCATGAACTAATAGCGTAACGTATGAGTATTTTACTCACTCACACGTACATTCAGGAACATATAGGTCAAAGATAAACAGACGTATCTGTGATACTGATCAATAATTTAATCGACAAACAACCAAAAAAATATTCACTTCAAAAACAGAATTAGTTGTCTTCTGATTAGGAGTAGTATTACGTGTATCTGTTAATTATTATCTCTTTTTCTGTCCTTATCAGAATCATTGTTTGTATTCTGTGTGTATCACACCTTATACATAATATGGTGACAGAAATTAACAGTAATCCTAGCAAATCTGGTCAAAAGGTCACATTCATCTTAAAGGAATACAATGGAATTACATCACAATGTTACAAACTTTGTAATTACAAGTTTACACTGTATCCGACTATACTGCTTATACAGCAGGTGATGACCAGTTAAAGAATTCATGATGACTATATCTAAATACCAAAAGAATAAAAGTACTTAACCCAGGAAGAGTTGGAAATGTGTACCTGTGTGTGTGTGTGTTAACCGCATAAGCTTCTGTGAAAGGACTTGATATTTGAACCTACCTGTCTATCTACTGTTTACATTTACAGGTTATTAAACCTGAAGATATTTGAAAAATATTTTTTTGATAAAAACCATCTTACCCATTTAGTAATTTCACTCTGTGTTAAACCATTTTTCCAACAAAATACTTCTGGCTGATAACAAATAAACTAATTTTTGAGGCAGTATGCTGTATAAAGAGTAAATTAATAACTGAGAATTCAGAGTGAGAAAGTATTAGTAGATCGATATTTTAGACGTTAACACAACCATTCAGCTGATATTAGGATCACACTGTCTACCAAAAAGTAGTAATTTAGATAAATTAATGTTAGTAATGGAAAAGTATTGACAAGTGTTTAGCACTACAACATTGAGAAGTTCCTCTGTGATAAATAAAGCATATTTGATTATTATTACTATTCCTCATTATTATTCATTCCCTGGTTGCTGAGTGGAACACAGCGCTTCAACTGTACATCTCCACGGTATTCTGCTGTCTACCGTCTTTTTTAGGTGGACTGATGATTTCCCACAGGCTCTCATTTACTCTTTACACGATCTCCTTCATGTCAATCAGGGACACAATGCCATCCTGTTTCTTCCCATATGGGTCTCAGTCAAGGGCCTGGCAAGTGGTGCCACTCAACAGCCTCTTCAGCATATGTCCAGTCCATCTCTATCTCATTCATGTTTGGTGAGCGACACATTCCTGTTTCGTGTGCTGCCCTCCAGAGTTTCTTGTTGTTTATCCTTTCTAACTGATCATTTAATCTACAGTATCGAGTATCTGTCGGTGAAAGTCTGCTAGAAAGCCTGTCGGAACTGCTTTTGGTGATAAGCGCATCAATTCGTGGAAAAAATAGAAACAATAACTTGATATTTATGTTAAGGCCCACGTCTTGTTCCTTATGCTAAAGGCTGTAGATCGCTATAATGATTTCAGAGTACTGAACACCTTCCTTATTTTTTCCAATACTATCTGGCTATAAAACCTATATCCATGAAATCTGACTTTGGTCGCGACGATGTGGCTTGTGTGAGTGAACAAGGCAGCCAGTTTCCTTTAGACTTCTCCTACTGATGGTGATTGCTGTTTGTTGCTGGTTGCATATCCTCATCAAGTCTGTTTTGCTCATCTTCTCCTAAAGTCCTACCTTCTCTGTCTTGCCTGGTAACTTATTGGTTTTCGCCTGTAGATCTTCAACTTTGTGTGACAATAGATACAAATCACCTGCAAAGTACAGATCTCTTAATATCTTTTCATCAGTTCAGCACCTGCCAGTCTTCTTTCTCCCAAAGGTTTCCCACATAATCCAGTCCACCACAGTCAAGAATATTATCGGTAATATTAGGCAGTCTTGTCTTACTCCGGTCTTCAGCTGAAAGGCTTCTTCGAGCTTCCCATCGATAATTACTTGGTGTGAACATAGAGTTGTTGGTTTAGGTTGATAACTGAAACATTAGCACTGCAATCCCTAGTGTTGAAGCAGTTGCATTTCATTACCATATTATTTTGTTTATTGGATATGTCACACTGTGAAACAGTATTATTTACTGGATTACTTTTCAACTACAATTTATTGCTCATAATTATATAAGTGTCTACTTACTCTACTTCCGCTAAAATTTACAGGACAGAAAGTCACATGACATTTTCTCTCCGAAGTGCGACGAATTGTGTTTTACTCCTGGGAAGCTACAATCACCATTTGACGAGGTACATGCACAAATGTAACACAAATTCCTTTGACTTCAGCAGTAAACATTACGATGAGCCTGAATGTTACTCAACTACCTTTATCATTTACTTCATCAAACTATTCGTTTCGAGTTGATCACGGACTGATATCAGTTAGAGAACCATTGAAAACCAGGGAGTACTGGACAGCTGCTGTTTCATCCTAGTTTGGGAATCATCGGCAGTACGCACCCACTGGGATTCGAACCCAGGACCTTCCGGTTACAAGGCAAGCTCGTATACCGGTGGCTGAATGGTATACGAGCTTGCCTTGTAACCGGAAGGTCCTGGGTTCGAATCCCAGTGGTGCGTACTGCCGATGATTCCACAGATGAACAGCAGCTGTCCAGTACTCCTGGTTCAATGGTTCTCTAACTGATATCAGTCCGTGATCAACTCGTAAAACATAACTAATCCTTACAAACCAAACTATAGAAAACTATCTGTCCAATACGTCTAAGGCTCATAACCAGATAAAAATCTGAGTGCTTGTTGTATATTAAATAAAAGATGACCCTAATGGGTCATATCATAAAAAATTGTAGATAGTATTTCGTTTGTTATTTGTTACCCTGAGGCTTTTTCATTATTGCTTTGAACATCAACTAAATTCTGTTTACTTATTTCGAATAATGAAATTGTTATGTTTCGTGTGCTTCATACACCTTTCGTTTTCTTTCTGTAATATAGAATAGCATAATGCTATACATAATGTGAAACATTGGTTAATGATTGGTCTAACAGAATTTTCTCTGTAATCCCAATCATCGTCATCACGAACAGAAACATTTGGTTTTAGGGTAATAAAAGTAAATTAGGTAAATCGATTGTGTTAAAAACTAAAAAGCATCACTGATTGGTAGTTGGCATATATAAACATCTGTTATTTTGTGACTAGGCATATATATATATAAATTTGGCTTCGAAATCAACCTAATGTGTAACAAATGTAGTTACAACAGTATTAGTGGTGGTGGGCGAGTACACAATCGGATGGAATCATTCATGTACACGCAGTTAAAAATCTGGACACGTAGTGATGACTGAACTACGCATACCCAGAAGTGTAGCTTTTTTAAGTGATCCTAAAAACATAATAACGTTATTTCTTTGCTTTTTCTCTGATCCATCCACTTCTTTTTATATCATTTCGAGGTAATTTTATGTGAATGCCTGTATAAGCGTCACAATATCAGTAGTAAATATGCATCCTAACGTTCAGCGCTCCCTATATATATATATATATATATATAGGCATACGTAAGTAATAACTGTAGTAACACGTGATTTGCGAAAAAGCGTTAATCTAGAGTCAAATCATCTGTGGTAGAGAAGCACACATTTTAATTAATTGGACAAAGTAATCGAAAAGAAATGCAAAGAAAATAAGGGAGAAACCGTTTATGTTTTAAGACAGCTAACTTAATACAAATACCAACAAATGGGGGAGGCTGAATGTAAGTTTAGGGGTGACAGATAACAAGTGTAATGATAAAATGAAGAGGTCAAATTGTGAACTGTAATAAAATACTAGAGGTTGACACAAAATAAGGATAACAGTGGAGCGCAGAATATGAAGGTGCTTTCTTTGCACGCATAGGTCAAGTTTCTTCTTCGTATCCACTATAGATTCAGTTATAGCTAGGAGACGTAACTTCTTTATTTTATTCCTACACTTGTCATTTATTAGCCCTTGAACTTACATTCAGCGTTCTCCATTTGTCGTAGTAATCATATTTCTCTTACACCACTGAATATAACTCCCCATCTCCAATGAAACCCATATTCTGCTGACTATAAATACATTAGTATGTTACCCAGTTGTCTATTCACACTTTATCTTATGTTCTGAATGACTATACATTTTATATACATTCTATTGACAATGTTAACTAATAGACTATCATTCCATCTTATGCTTGCACCCCAATACATTTTCTGATATAATTTCCACTTGCCTTTGTTGGCTATTTGTTTTCTAATATTCGTGAATTTAGAACTGTAGAGCCTGATGAATAAGTTATCGAAAGCAGTTGTTCGCTCAAAACCATTTGTCCGTAATATAATATCAAATAAGTGAATAATATCTAATTTAGGTTATTACGTAAACATAGCAATGCTACAATAGGCGTCCTTGTTGGGGTATGTTATAAACCCACTCAAATATATAAAAAGAAGTATTCATATCTCGCACACACTGAAAAGTCAGCACTATGTTATGAAGCGATAGTAGTGATAATGAGCAAAATAATAGGAAGTAAGGCTTTCAAAGACCATTATGTTTCGGACGGTATGTATGGATTGCAATTATTATCTTATTGTAACCAGTATACTACACTTGGATTACCAAAACTTCAATTTTAATCTAATTAAAACACAGTACGTGTAAGAGAAAGGTGTCTTTTCATGAAACGTTACTATTTAAAACCCCAGAGATGTAACCAACATCTTTATCCAAGTGATTACCTCTTGTTATACCCGATAATGCTGAGAGGGCATACGGTTTGTATAGAGAAATGCATATTACTTAGTCCAGTTAATTGATTCAACAATGATATATGATATTTGTCTTTCTGTACACTTAGGTATTAAACAGTTATTTATCGTCACTTGTCTGGAGGAAGATGCTCATATACTCATCTATTTTTAACATGGGTGTTTCTCAAACATTTTATTATCTTTATTATTCCTGACAAAACTCATATTGTGTTCTAAACAATGATATGAATAAATTTTTGAAATTATTTTCTGTGGAAATACATATTTTCTGTAATTCTTGCAGTAGATTAGAGATAAAGTGTTAGGAAATTGACGAAAAGAGAATATTATCAAAATATTGTTATAATACCTACATCCAGAAATAACTTTTACTCTCTGTCCCATATCATTTTAGTGTTAACAAATTAACCACGCATTCCCATATCTCCTTATATATTATGTCTTATCTTCAGTCTGTTCATCAATCTACGGAACTGTACTAAGCTAAGAAAGGAAATACATATTTCAAAAATTTACTTTTAGTATTGGTTAGTCTACCTTCGTGTTAAATGTATATTGTGTTCTTGAAGTCAGAAATGTATCTCGCTTAAAGTTTAAAATGAATTCTTCAATTAGACACTGTGGAATCACTCACTGCTCAAGTATCAATACTCATTTTTGGAAGTAATTCGAAGAAACTGTGTTGAAGTTAACATTACATATATACATATATATATATATGGGTGTAAATGTAACGGACGAGGAAGAAGTAAACCTGATCGAGTCATTCATAGGTCGCCCAGCACACAAATAGCAGTCAGACATCTATTAGATAGATCTCTTTAAGATCTCTTTCAAATCTGTGTACAGCTCACAACCAAGTGAAGTATTTTATTCTAATTCGACAGTGCATAAACTTTTCACTGTAATTATCAAGTGAAGTAAATTTAGGAGGTTTGTTTACACTTCTCACACTTAGCTAAATCGTAAGTAACTCACTATTGTAAACAAATTTAAATCTTGTTTACCCATTGTTTTACTCTCCATGAATAAAATTAGAAGATATAGTTTCAGGAGCAGTTACTCAAAGCAGGATTCTAACTTTCAGTAAATTTGTTTCCCAGTCACATTCCCAAATACAATCCAACGGTAGAAAATGAGCTGACATTTTTACTAGTTTTATATAAACAAATTAATTTTTGCCAATAACTAGTTGTTAATGCTGTAAGCTGGCAGATGTATACGGAAATAATGTCGATTAATAAATAAGAACAGTTATTTTGACCAAGATTAAAATGTCAACAAAAACTTAGGACTGGTGAATTGACCGATATTTACAAATTGGGCTGGGATGTTGTAACTGTTTTGTCTCTTTCCTTCACTTCCACACCACAGATTTTGAAATCATCAAAGAGACTCAGTGAAGATACCTTCTGGGTGAATATCTATAGGTTTAGAGGTGAATTATGCACCTTGGAAAGCAATGAAACAATTAGGACAACTTCAGCAAGACTTGCAAGATAATATATTTAATATTAAATTTAGCAAAGGAACCGGGTCGCCTAAGACTTATTTTGCCAAAATTGACAGTTAGACATACAAGACAGTGACACATAGGCATCAAGTTTACATTTTAATGCAATAGGCACTAGTTGAATTTACAAAGGATAATACAATGTCCCTAATCTCAAATAAATGTTCAATTATATTTGACTTATGATCAAATTATATTCAATAAAAGTGAGAATATGTGAATTATGATAACGAAGCAGAGCACATGAACAAATCAACTCACATTCATTTGAGATTTATAGCTTGAACTTATCATAAAGGCATTTAATTCGATTAATCTCATCTTCGGCGCTGTAATCGATCTCCCCATCCATGCTGGCATATTGATATCTCTTAAATCTTCTGATGCTGCTTCGTTAAACATAACAGTACTGGAAGCATCTGTACCCGTTACTGATAAATCTTTTCCTATATTCTAAAAAAAGAGATTACCAAAAAAGTGATAAGTCAACCTACCTCTATCATCATTTTCCTGGGATATTTCGGTGAGTCTGAAACGGAATCATTTCTATGCTTTGAAGGATTCGATAAAAAATTTAATGATGAATAGGAAATTTCCCGTAGTAAATTCATAGCTCCTTCACTTGTCTGATTATTCATATCAATGACGGAGTGTGCAATTAAACCACCGTTATGGTGGTTGTGTAAGGGGTGACTGGAATTCGAATGTTCAGACAAAGTTGAAGTTTGTTTACAGGCAACTGCTGAAGATAATAAATCTGTATTTGATGTAACTGATAAACCCGCCGGATGTTTTGGTGATAGCATAGAGTTTTTCGGCCATGAAGCAGATGATGCTGATGAACACTGTTGCCCATAAGCGGCAACTGCAGCAACATGTGCAGCTGCCATTGCAACAGCTGCTGATGCTGGTGTTGCAGCTGTTAATGAAGAACATAGTGGATTTGGCATTGAAAGAGTTGACGAAAAACTTGGCGCTGAGGATAAAGAAGATATTGATGAACAGTTTGAAGAAGTTATCGATGAATCAATATTATTAGTGGTGCCGTTCATTTGATTAGAATGATTATGGCTGTTATAATAGCTAGATGGACAGTACATCAACTGGCCAATTGATGTTCTTACCAGTACTAGTCCATCAGATTGCAAATTCGATAATAAGACAGATGGGTTTGCCGCTATTGATGTGGAATAGGAGTAATTATCATTAACAGCAGATGAAGTTGATGGTGAAGGTGATTGGTTTTGATGATCATTTGACGCAACCGTCATGAGATTATCTAATACTAATGGGAAGTTCAACTGTTGTGGCTGAACTTGCTGCTTTTGCTGTTGTTTACTAACAGCTGTCCCAAGTAGTTTGTCGTGTAATTGTAATGTTTCCACGTTTCTGTTAGATAAGGCTGGCTGTTTTTGCTGGGATCTAAAAGCTAGAATAGCTTCATATGGGTAAGATAAGGATGAACCATTATTATTCATCATGGCTGCTTGTTGTCTAACATCAAATGAATATGGTGAAAAAGATGAGCTTATTGGTAGAAGATGAGCCAATGCAGACTGACTTGTAGGATTTAGGTTGATATGATTATAATGGGTTGTTTTCTCATCGTGTACAGATGTGGAATATGAAGAGTTTTCTTTCAAGAAAAATGAAGTAGACATCATATATACATGTGTATTCGCCTGTACATAAAAATATTAACTATAAAGCATTTTGAGACTAGTCAGAAATACTGCTGTTCACACCTAATTCTAATGTATATTACAAAAATAGTAAGGAGAAAGTATGTCACCATGAGGCATAGAGTCAATTTCCAGCTTTTGAAATGCTGCTTTGTAGTAACGTATACAATAACTTGAATGGAAACATCATTCTAAGCCAGCGAACTTTAGAAATAAGAAATTTCAAGGCTATTGTTCTGTTTAGTCTTGACATTCTTTGTCAGTAGACACACATGATCTATTCCATATGATTCAAATGTTAAACTAACCAGAGACTATGAACAGTAAATTTTCAGAAACTTTATCACTTCCGAAAATGACCTGTTTAACAGACATTAGGCAATAATCCACCTAACATTTTGTAAAATATGCAGCAGTTCTAATCATGATATTCAGCAAGTATTGTGTATGAGAATTTGTGTATCTTAGGGAGTCAAATGGTAAGTCTATAAACACCAGTTAATAAATTATATAGATAGATTCCTTCTAAAGATTTGATGTACATGAATCAGTCGGACAAGTCGGTGTGTCGCTGATATACTGATCAATTAAATCTTTCCAATTTAAGGGCCTCAGTCTAATAAATAAGAATAAATTTCCACATTAGGATAAAATAAGAAATAGTATATACATCCTCTTTTATGTGATTCATTCATTTTCAGATACTTTGACATTTCAATCATTCAGATAAGGTATGAAATGCTGATATGAAATACTGACAGGTCAGTTGTTTTGAAAGCATCATTTCTACTAATGTCAGTCCAAGAGGTACTTCAGACGACAATCAATATGAATTTCACCTGTAACTGATGTAGTTATTCATATAAACTACTCCATAGAGCAAATAAAACTGATTCTATTATACACAATAGTTTTGTGACTATGATTTCCAAACATAACACAATAATAAGCACGCCAGCAATAGATTGAAGGGTTCTTCATTAAAAAAGAAAAATCAGACTTTTGAGGTGAATATTATTCAAGAAGGTGTAAGTTTAAAGTATTCTTTCTATCTACTGTACATAGAATGTGGTCTTTTGTTTACAATAGTGAATACCTAGAGACGAAATTCATTTTCATCAGCCTATTGTAGCAGCAATACAACACTTGAAATATTATTTTTTTAATTCATTGTCAAAGCTGGTGACAATGAGGATGGTACATTGTTAGAATATAATGTAATCTGCATATATTTCAAGTGATTTTTTATTAATAAAAGTGCTGCATAAATATATATATATATATAACCTTCTTTTGTCAAGCCATGGGTGCAGAAATATGCACAAACAATATACACATAGCTTGTGTAACTGAAACACAAAACATACATCAAGATAAATCGTAAGAATACTCATATTTTATTGATTTATTAACCTTACAAAATCAGAAAGTGGAGTCAAATAGTAGTGTCTTCGGGATTTCCAGTCTTTTCCAGACCAAAGGAAGTCAAACAAGTGATAATCTGATGCCAGTAAAATATTTAAAGGTGTCTGCCTTTTACCTGGTCTGAATCGGTATATTTATCCTGACAACTGTCAATCACTTGAATCAGTGAAATACTTAAAACAAACCTTTTCTGGGCTTTTTTTATACTTGAAAATCTTGAGAATACAACTCTATCGAAAGGGGAAAGCTGTTTGTATTGTAATTCTTTCTGTTCTCTTTGTGACCTAATGGATATGTGAATGTGCCAATTCACCTGAATTTGTCTGAAGTATTGGAAAATTTCCATTTACTGGTTCATATGATCTCCTGAAGGCCTTCATATAAGACAAAATGGGTGTTTTATGTTTCCGCCCATAACCACCACGATATTTTCGAGAAATCTGCGAAAATACTATCTTTTAACATTTTGTGCTCTTAGGTTTGAAGTGTGAGTCTGAGTTGTATGCAGTGTTAAGCATAATACCAAAACCTTGGTATAAAAGAATCAAGCATCAGAAAATTAAGTCTGTAGTATGCACATAAATATGTAGATACATAAGTAATACACAACTTACCTTGGTCTTTTCCCTTAGCTGAATTAGCATTAACACTATTAACACCGCTGCTAATGTTGTGATTATTAGTATCTGTCGGAGAGGAATATTTATGTATATTTTCAGAATGTAAACCATTTGTTTTATTTTGTGACTCCCTGTTGCTGGGATGTATCAGGTTATTAACATGAAGAGTCCTTTCAGATGCAGCAGCTTCAGCAGGTAGACTGATCATGTCATTTCGCCCATTTGTCATGTTTCCAGAGTGTTTATTATCGATACTGTTGTCTTCATTTGCAGAATGAATTGTAGCTGCTATTGTTGGCAAACCGCTAGCTGATGACACGGATGATAAACTTTTAGAACCAAGTACACCAGCGGAGACAATCTGTGCAGAACTAAGCATAGACAGATGCATAATAGCTCGTTGTTTTGTATCAGGATCTTTAATCTGAGCCTGCAGTTCCTTAGATTTCCGACGAGCTAAGACTTGAATATGGCTTGAAACTTGTTTTCGACTTCTGATTTTCCCAGTATGTTGATAAATGTAACGGGCTATTAATTCATTTCGTCCTGACATAAAAAAGAATAGAGTAAATTTAACTTGGATTTTATGCATCATAATCATCCAAACTTCTTCTTTACTGAATCCATGTAACAATATTTCCCAGTGAATATTATATTTTTTATACATTTCGGTCTGCAGCAATCCTAAATTTACATTTGACAGACGACATCTGTGACATCATTAAACCTTTTAGTCACCTCTGATTGGAAATAATAAAGACAACTGAACCTAACAAGTGAATATAAAGTATCATTCTGAAGCCAGGAGTGAACAGTACCTGAGTAAGTACTTCATTGAAATTATTGGTTTCCGATTTATGTACAAATGAGGAGACAAACATATTTTTGTAAAATTGCCTAAAAGTACTTCAAGTCACGATGTTGTCTGGTTATGATTATAGTAATCGCAAACGAATTCATTTCTAGAATCATTCTTGTCGCAGTGCTCAAATCTCAGTGATCACATAAAGTTGTGTACTCGTGTTTTCGGGTACACAAAATAGTGTATGTAGGGATATTCATCAAATTATATACCTTGATCAATAGAAAGATCTTTCATGACTGCATGTATATTCAACAGTGAATGCTGTGTAGAATCGTTAAAGCGAAATATCAATAGTCAAGGGCTGTCTACAGTATCTCATTAAGAAATAACGAAAGCTATTGGGATTAGTCTAAAAACTAATGAAAGGGAAACATAGTTAATCTATTTATTCCTGTATACTGTCATTCTAACTAATATCGTAAATATTTTCTGCTAAAAGGAAACATCCAAAAATTTTGTTTGTAAAGACAATTAATTAGTTGGTTATAAAGTGACATAATAAGATAATTTCACTCGATGTGTGTAGTAGCTGTACAAAGAAGAATTCTATAGTACTTCCACATTTTTAAAACATATTAAGAATATTGCCGATCTACAAATCTTAAGGATAATGTCTGCAGTAATTAGGTTACTTCATGAATGTTGTTAGTTAATTGATAGATCCAGTTAGTACTACTTGAATGTCCCCCAATCGACTACTATTCTGCATTATAACAGAAATAGTCTAAGTCAACCAAATGTAAAGCTAAACCCAGATCTAATAAAGTGCTGTTTACATAACGAAGTTGTAACCAACTGAGCTATGCAGTAGTAGCATTATGCAAAACTATGTGAGATAAAATTGCTCTTCAACATAGTTTTAATACTTCATCCATGGCCATTGAATTCAGTGAAATACTTTATCTCTGAGATTCTTCAGTTGTAAAAAGTCTACTAGTTTACTGAGACTGTATTTCATATTAGCAATAGATCAGTAGTGTGAAAGACTCGGAAGAGGTGAGTAAAACAATCAAAGAACTATACTAACAATGAAAACACAAAGTCACTCTGTTCCTGTTTTCCAACAGTCATTACGGTTAAGATGGTATTGGCCAGTTTCTAGAGAGTTTATATATTGGGTAATTAATACGTATAGGCACTTGACCCACAGGTTACCAGTCTGTGGGTCATAACCCCGATTTCGGCCTAACTTTAATTGGAGTCTCGATATATAGTGAAGACAGTTTTTAAAAACACATGGGAAAATCTTCAACATGATATTTTAAATTTTAGACAATTTAGCGACAACAACTTACCATACATCTTTCCTTCTTCTGATAGAATAATTTTCCTACGTCCACATGGTGGGTATATTGCTAAAGCTTCTTGGAAACACTGTTCTATATCCATTGACCACACACCTTCAACATCTGTTGAGCTTGAGTTCTCTTGAGCGTCCATATCTGAACCGGAATTACTACCACAATCATCATCAAAGTGGAAATCCGTAGAATTCGTTGATAGTCGTTTGGGTGTTGTAGGTGCCGGTCGTTTACCTGATCTTATTTGGTGATTAGTATTTGTATTCATTGAGTTACAGTAAAATGATCCGTTGGGAACTGCGGTAGCAACAGAGGAAAGAGGAAGACCAGTGACATTCATTGGTGGAGGACTTCTTTGAAGTTGTGTGTTAAGATGATGATGATGATGGTGATGCTGTGGCTGCTGTAGAACATGATTTGATGAGCTCACTAAATGATCACGTGTTAAACCTGAGCTTTGCAAGTGTAACGATATTGGTGATTGGTTAGACAGACTATCTGAAGATTTATTCATATACATTTTAACTGATCTTAAATCTGAATCACTGTCATGCTTGGAAATGGTTTTACTTAAATTCAGTAAAGTGTTTCCCCCATTCGAATGATTAACACTATTGTCATTATGATTGTTACCAGATATGTTAATCGGAATCGAATCACCATCACTACTAGCTCCTGCATTATCTCCAGCAGTCGAAGCGGACGAAGTATTAGCTGTGAGGCTGGGTATTGAAAAGGCTGTTTCACTTTTACAAACTTCCATCTTTCAATGTATATGCAAAACGCACGTAGGTAGACGTATGTGTATACAAGTTGTTAAATCAATTTTTCAGTAAAAAAAATATCACAAAATAGATGTAATCAACCCTTAAATATATTCTTTATGCCTGTATATGCATGTAGTTATCCAATGAATAAAAGTGAAATTCTTCTGCTTGTTTCTTCACTCAGTTATTAATGACATCATTTTGCTTTTCTGATATAAACTGAAAATGAAGCAATAGCGAGGAAGACAGTGAATGAGAGAAACAGAATAGTACTCTGTACGAATTAATCAACGCATATATATATATATATATATTTACATAACTGCTGTTATCTAATGTATTTAGTTTTTATTCCTTGCCACCACCTTCAACAACTCTGTCTGACCTATAGTGAACACACCTATACTATTACAATCACAATTATCGTTGTGTAGCTGTTAGTTGTTCCTTTTAGTTAAAAATAAATAACACTAAACAATTTAGCGCTATTTTGTTTCTCAAAAGAACGTTGTATGGTTAGGCTACATAGACGAGGGGATACATTTTCTGTGAATTCACAACTAGCCAAGCCTTAAATTAAACAAAACATTTCAGAAAAAATTCTGTGCTCCGGCCTAAATAACTCATGAATGAAAGGGTCACTGCATGTGCACATGTCTAAGGGAGAGAGGGAGAAAATCTACATATAAATTATGGGTGAGGGAGTAAAACGATGTGGAGTCGGAATTGAGAAGGGAGAAATATTAGTCTATGTCAGTAATTAATAATAGGAGGAGGAGAGTGATGAAAAAAGTCATACTGAAAGACACAGATTTCTACACTTAATTACTGTTCTCTATACATTGTTATCTTATCAATTAACGAAATATTCAGAATTTTATACACGTAAAACTGAAATTTAAGAGAGAGAGAGAGAAAAACACACAATCCAGCGTTAACATTTTTCCTCCTCCATGTTTATTTTTCATTTGTTCTGATCCTGGTTACAATATGATAATAGTGATAACATGACAATAGAGACTGTCAATACATTTTTTTCAGTAATCTAGGAGATGTTTCATTTTCACTAAAGATAATAATATGACGACGCGTCAGTGTGTATCTCTATGTTTGCGTGTTTGTAGTTATTATTATTATTAGTTTTTTTTTCAAAAGTTTTGTGCATAATCAATTAAATGAGACGTCGGCACGATCATATTTTCATTCAGTTTATAGAAGAAAACGTTTTTTATTGTGCTGATGATTTTAAATACACAAATAAGTAAATAAATAAAACTTGCACAGCAATGTATTTATTGATGATGATAAAGTCGACAACCCAGTTACAAAATAATTAAAGAAAACGATGGATGGATACCACAGCGTTTGGAAAATAGATTAATTGTTTATTTGACATGGAGTTTAGAAATATTGCAATCATTCATTTAAACTATTCACACTGATGACAATAATAATAATCTCTACAACAGTTTACTGTTATGAGTAGTTGTTAAATAACAGGCCCAGAAATGTGGCAGACAGATATGATAAGTAATAACAGAAAATGTGAAATATGTACCAGAATTTTACCACCATGTAATTATTACTGTTTCATACCAGTGGACATCGCTATTTACCTATCTGGAATGAATTCAGGAGAGTTACATTCATAAATTCTATAATTTCTCGCTCATTAGCAAATATTAACAAACATTGCTAGCTTCTGTACTTCACTCGCATAATTTAGAAGCTACGAAAAAATCATCGTTTAGGCCCTCAACAAGATCATTTTAATATCAGGTAGAATAACCCACTGAATTACAGCTAGCATAAGGGTATTCCAGCGATCCTAACTAAGCGATTGTCACCATATGTATGTATGTAGTACAGGTAAACCTTATGCTTACTTTGCTTCAGTAGTGAAGAGTAAATCAAAGAACTTTTTCAATATTTATGAAACCATGTATTCATTAGCGCAAACTCCACTCATACTTTATGAAAATAACCAGCACTCAACGTAAAAATCATGCACATTAAAAATTAAACCACAGGATTTAGATGATAAATATAATGCTGACAAAACGATAAAATTTCTGAAATTTCTCGGGTCATTCATCAATCCAAAGATATTTTTGGACTTCTTGTCTTTTTGTATTGATTTGTTGACTTCAAATAAACATCCTAATGTAAAAAGTATACTGATCATTTACTAACTACTTTATGAATGCGGCGAAGAAGAAAATGCCAGATAATTTATTTCTTAAGCACTAGTCATCTTTAGCCTCATTCCAAATGAACTCACTAAATTTCGCTTTCACTGTATACCCTTAAAAAGATGCACAAAATATCCTACGAGATAACTAAGTTTGCATGTGGTCCATAAACATTTTTCTGTTTATGAAAAAAATCAACGTAATTTTGTGGATTTAAGAATTTCTGCACCAGTAATTTACTTCAGATACTTCTACTCTGATTCTAGAGGTAAGATGAAATTGTGTTTATCATTTTTGATACTAGCACGTACACCAAAGCAACTTATAATATCAGCATTCTTTGTGCCTCATAACGAAACATTTAGTGATGCTATTGTGGGCTACTGACAAGATTTATCAGTACTATATAAAGAGACCTTCATCAGCACAAAATATCAAATAGCTGAGTGATAGATTTGACCCCAAAGAGAGGAAACAAACCAGCGTTGCTGTGAAACATGGGAGACACGAAAAGAAGACAAAGAAACACAGTAAGAAGGTCAGAAGTAACACAACACGGAACATCTGTGCGAATGACGATTTTCAGATAAGGTGTACATAATTTGTTCATATAGAGATACCGAATTCTAGATAAACGTTCCGTTACCAAGTCTCTTGTCCTCTACCGTAACGATTGGTGTCGCTGCTTCCAGACAGTGAAGATTCCATGGCCGGCTGCTTTCAAAGAAGAAGACATTCAGAGCTTCTCGCAGGACTTCGATGCTGCCACCGAGATGGTGGTCATCAAGGATATGATAAAGAAGGTGTGATGCTGTGGACGCTGCTAAGAGGTCAAGCAAAGCTGACATACAGCGGTAAGGAGCGGTCAGGTGAGAAATAGACCTCGAATGGATTAATTGACCGATTGGTGGCTCAGTTCGACAGCCCGACCGACAAGCAGTTGGCAATGCATCAGTTCTGTGCAGTGCAGCTGGGACTGAACAGAGACGCGCTAGTGTTGGCGGTGAAGCTGACGAATCTATTTAGCTGCTCACCCCCCTACTGGGTGAAGATTAGGAGTCGCAGTTATTGACGTCCTATTTCATCGAGTGTTCCCAGACCACACTTCTCAGCAACTACAAATGGTTAACGCCGCACAAACCATGGACACCGTTTAGCTAGTGAAGGTGACCAGATAGCTACTGGAGCACAACGGTAGCCGCAATAGAACCACAGAAATCGAATGGATGGGGACGGAGAATTGAAGAGTTGCAGCGTGAATTGGCGGCACTACGAATGAGTGCTAGGAAAGACCAATGCTTTGAATGTAATAAATCAGGACACTGGAGGAGGCACTGCCCAGAAAGAAGGGGAAGAAAAAATTTCAGACAGTATATGTGTGTTATTTCTCTCCTATAAGACTGCAAGCAGTAGGAGTATTCGAGAGGGGGGTTATGTATTCTAAGTTGTGAGTGAATGGCCCAGAAGTAGTATGTTTGATAGATACAGGGGTTGCAGTGTCACTAATATATAGGAATCTATGTCAGAGCGTACGACCGTGTTCATTGAGAGTTCAAACGATAAGTGGACACACATTAAACATCACGGCCACGTCGAACTGTAGCGTTCTTATTGGCGATCGCGAAGTAACGCTCCCGTTTATTGATGTGCCAGAGTTACGGCGAACAATACTTGGGGCTGATTTTCTGCGAGAGGTCGGTGTGGTAGTTACCACGAAGGAGAGGGCAATGATTTCGAAGTATGGTACTATCAACATGTATTAGACAAGTGAGATAGCAGGGGTTAAGGCGTCAAGAATACAGAATATGACAGTGTTAGCTAAAGAATACGACCATCTGTTCACTGGGGATGGGGACCTCTACGGCTATTGTGAAATGGTGAGATATGAGATCCTTGTGGCCGGTCGGAAAATAGGACCATTCACAACGCGAAGAGTCCCATGTCATTAAGAAGGCGAAGTCGAGCGACAAGTGAAGGAGATGCTAGAGGATGACATTATTGAAGAAGCTGATAATCCATATAACTCTCCAGTTCTTTTAGTGAAGAAAGCGAATGGGAAGTACAGGTTCTGCTTTGATTTCCGTCTGTTAAACAGCATGACGGAGCTGAGAGCGTGTGCCATGCCAACGTAGTAGAGACCTTGGATCATCTACATAGCTCAAATTTATTTGCAGCTCTCGACCTCCAGTCAGTATATTAACACATACCGATAAAACATAGAGGTGTTCATCGTGGGACAGAAACGGTATCTGTGTAAATACATGCCATTCAGACTAGTAGGTGCACCGTTTACCTGATGATGTTGTTACTTAGAGACTTGAAGAATGTAGAGGTGTGCGGAGATGACTTCGTCATCTTTAGTCAAGAGGAAAGTGACCATGTGAACCATGTCGAAGTGGTGTTAAAACTCACTGAAGAGTTTGAGCTGCGCATCAACAAAACAAAATCTCAGATAGACGAACAGAGTGTTATGCTGTCGGGTCATAAAGTAGGTAACGATGAGATAAAACCGTTACAGGAGAAAATCTTGCCGATAAGGACCATTACGCCCCCGAATTCCAAGAGAAAGCTAAGGCAGTTCTGGGGGAGAGCAGCGTTTTTTAGTTCATTTGTGTAAAACTTCAACGAGATAGCAGCCCCCTGTACAGGCTATTAGGTGAGTCGAAGTTTTTTGTTCGGAGAATCCGTAGAAAATATTCGATGGCATTAAGCAGCTTTTAGACCACCAGAAAATGACTCTGAATCTACCTGTACTAGGAAAACAGTTCACAGTTCATATTTTGAAAATCAGCTAACACAGACCAAATACTCAATTACAACAGCAACAACTCAATAACACACACAATGAATTGCATACAAACACTATTCAAGAGAGTCAGGACTCCTACCTCAAAGAAAATTGAAGAAAAATATCTCATGAAAGTCTTCCAAAAGAATGGATATCTACAAAACTCTATCAAAAGATATCTACCCCAAAGCCAACCTACCGAATCAAAGACTCCCAAGGAAAGCACAACGAAAATCGAC